CAAATAACTTCATTTCTCAGACTTAGAATTTCCTGGGTGTATATATCTTTCACCTTCAGCCATTGCAAAGATATGCAACCTGGTATTCTACAGATGTTTTAGAATTACATGCCTATAATCCCTGGCCACTGGCTATCCTACACATACTTATGGATATTGAAATTCAATACATCTAGAAGGTTGAGAAAATGCCTCTCCTTGCAGGCATTGGTAATGTGAATTAACTCTCAAAAGATTAAACTATTTGTTATTGTTGTTAGTTGCAAAGTCACGTCCAACCCATCGCGACCCCATGGACAATATTCCTCCAGGCCTTCCTGTCCTCCACCATCCTCCAGAGTCCATTTAAGCTCTCGCCTATTGCTTCAGTGACTCCATCCAGCCACCTCGTTTTCTGTTGTCCCCTTCTTCTTTTGCCCTCAACCTTTCCCAGCATTAGGCTCTTCTCCAGTGAGTCCTTCCTTCTCATTAGGTGGCCAAAATATTTGAGTTTCATCTTCAGGATCTGCAGGACAATTAAACAATTATGATTATCCGAAGATTTTTTTTAATTTAAATTTTTCAATTAAGAAAAAAAATATTTGGAAGAACAGAAGTAGACTTTAACTTTTGAGCCTGCAAGTAAAAGTTTATCAAATTTACCTTTTTTTAATATCTGCATTTTTTAAAAAACAAAATGTTTAACAAGATTTCTTGCAGATCTTTTGGACTACTTTTTAGGTAATCGTAATCACATGTAAGTCCCCCTGAATTTAATCATATTTAACATTTAATTTAATTATATTTAACCCTGTTTAAAGTTAAAGGTTTAACTCTTTTTCTAAAAAAAATCCCAAAACCCTCAGTGGGTAAATCAGTTATAAACAAGATGATACTTAATCTGAAAATCCCAATGACTAAAATAAGAAATAAAATAGTAGAACTGCTGGTTAGTTTATAAAATGAATGCTATTAGTATTCCTTTGAAAATAAATTAAGTTGAATGAAAATATTTTGATTTAGACTTAATGAAATTTGTAGGCAAAAGATTCACAATAAGCTGAAAAATCAAACGTTACTTCTTTTCTTCCAAATTATTATTTTTTTCTTAGTTGGAAAGTTTAAGGACAAATCTGAAACATGTTTAACAGTAACAGAGTTGGAAGGGACTTTGGAGGTCATCTAGTCCAACTCCCTGACAAATAATTAAATCATGCAGATTCAGGATTGAGATATATAAAATAGAAAAGTTGATACATATAATGATCAAGAAAAAAAATAAATTCATATGAGAGTCAAAATAATACATGCATCCATTCTTAGAAGAGCACAGTTTATATTAGGCAAAAGTTTGTTAGTACTGTACAAAGTAACAAAGATTGATATTAATGTGGTTTCATCTAAAAAGGGTTTGCCTCATTTGGATGTCTCCTAAGGTTTTTCTGAATTGTTGGATATAGAATGCAACAGTGGCTGTTGAAATCAAAGTTATGCTTTAATGGGCACCAAATTGCCTAGCGGTCTTTTAGTGGGATTATGGATTTAGTTATTCTTGCATATCCACCACACACATTTCTTTCATGGCTTCTTACTTTTAAATGCCTATTGCTTGGCAGCAGCAGAGAAAAAATAGTGCCAGTTCAATCCAACAATTATTCATTCCAAACTCTGGCCACATGGAATGAATGGAATGTATCCTGGTAACTTGGCCTTAACAACTTGTTGCCATCCCTGATTAAGCACAGGAGAAATAGCCTAAACCAGGGGTGGGCTTGGCTGTCTCAGGAATTCTGGGAGTTGAAGTCCACAAGTTGTAAAAGGGCCACAATTTGCCCACCCCTGGCCTAAACCATTCCACCCAATTGAGTCAGAATAAAAAAAGAAACTAGACATTTCTTTCTCAAAAAAAAACAACAATGTATTTTCTAATGGAAGCTACATGAATTATCTTCATTTTAAATCTAATTCCCATCATGGGAATAGTTGTTTTATGCTGCCCCATACAGCAGCAGGTCTATTTTAAGATACAGGCCAGGGATGGAAGTGGAAAAGGGTGAGGAGTGTGTAGGAGGCAATTAGAAGGAGGCAAAAATTGGATAACCATTTGTCTGAAATGGCATAAGGCAGTGTTGGCAAACCTTTTCGGCACTGAGTGCCGAAATGGCACATACACACGCACACACATCCTGGAAACCAGAAGAGCAGCTGCCCCGTGCACATGCATGCACTGGGAAGATAATCTTCCAGTTTCTGGCGCACAAATGCGTACTGCCCACCTGGTCTTCCAGTTTCTGGTGCATGGGTGCGAAGACCAGCTGGCTGGCGGAAACCAGAATATCATCTTCCCAGCGCGCACATGCACACTGGGCGGCTGTTCTTCCAGTTTCCAGTGCTCCCGCGCACATGATAACCAACTGGCCGGAATCCAGAAGAGCAATGGGCAACGGCTTGCGTGCCTGGAGAGATGGCTCTGCGTGCCACTTCGGGCACCTGTGCCATAGGTTCGCCATCACAGGTATAGGGTTTTCTGATTGACAGAGGGTTGGAACAGAAGACATCCAAGACTCTGTTGTTATTCTGTTAGAATGGCAATGTTACTTTCCATTTCTAGACTTTCCTTATCCAGTATGGTAAATACAACACAACAATAAGAGACAACCAGATAATGACTGTTTCCTGGGTAAGGAAAGTCTAGAAATGGAAAGTAATATTGCCATTCAAAACCACACAGTTATGGGAAGTGGATGCATCTTTTGTAACTAGGTATAAAAATTAAAGGGAAGGTAGTAGAGAAAGATTATTTACTGAATAAAAGCTTGCAAAAGTTATTTCAAGTGCTAGTGCTCTGTAGAAAGCTCACGGAAGAATAAGATACCTTGGTAGTACAATGGTTTAAAGCACCCTGTTATTAACACAGCTGCCTGCAATTATTGCAGGTTCGAATCTTACCAGGCTCAAGGTTGACTCAGCCTTCCATCCTTTCTAAGGTAGGTTAAATGAGGACCCAGTTTGTGGGGGCAATAAGCTGACTTTGTATAAATATACAAAAGTATGAAGGCTATTGCTTAGTGCATTGTAAGCCACCCTGAGTCTCCGGAGAAGGGCGGCATATAAATCAAATTTAAAAAAAAAAAGATACAAATAAACCTTCCTGCCACCTGCAAAACAAACAAACAAACAAACAAGCAAGCAATCTGATAATGTAGAAAGAAGATCAGAAATTGACTTAATAAGCGTATTCCTATTGAACGAATCCATTTCTTACTGATTACTGAACTAATTGTTTTGTTTTGTTTTGTTTTAACGGTATATTTGATGCTTTGGGAGTTAAGGTGAAAATTAGCATAAAACCACTTGATTATAGCAGGCCAAAGCAGGTCAAAGAGAGTGGGTGGTCTTTCAGGGAAGTGTTTGCAGAACAGATCAACTGGAGAATATTCAAGCACATGAGCCAAGGAAGATACTCTATGAAAAGGAAAACAAAGAATCTCCTCGAGTGAAGGATTTTTTTGCAATTGCTGGACAAAACAATGATCTGAGCATTATTTAATATGCATGTTAATATAAAGCAGAATGTGGACTTGACTAACTTCCATGTTCGTAAAGGAGGATTATATAATAAGATGTTTTGTAATAATTACTGGAGGAAAAAAAATCATCGGATCATAATATTAAAACCTTAATCGGGGCTTCAGTTGAATAACTTTAATGATCAAAGACAGCTCGTGAAAGACAGCAGACGATGCAAAACCCTGATGCCAATCCTTCAGTTGCATTTTTATTTGACAAATTTTATGGCTGCCCATTTCACAAACAAGTGACTCTGGGTGGCATACAGCATAGCTAGAAAACAATAAATATATCCAAACAGCAATGGTTATTTAAACACTTTTAAGACTACGTTAAAAAAAAAAAAAAGCTCAAAGGTAAAAAGAGAAGAAATATTGGGTGGAGAGAAAATCTTTCTAGTGACCCATCTCACTATTCCACCAGTTCTTTGGACTCTCCCCAGGCTTGATGGCAGTATTTGAAGGACTTCTGGAAAATCAAAAGGGATGAAGCCAGCCTTGCTTTGGGAAGGGGGGGGGGATATTTTCAATGAAAGATGAATTTAGGAGAAACTGCATTATTGCCTAAAAGCTGTGATTTGTGATCTGATTGCAAAATGCTTCGAAAAGTTTTTCCACATGTACTTATGTAGAAAAGGCAATACCCTATTTCAGGAGTGTCAAACTCGCGTTGTCACAGTGGTGCCACATGACGTATCAGGACTTTTCCCCCTTTCGCTAAACCAGGCGTGGGTTAGGGTTAGGGTTAGGGTTAGGGTTAAGGGTTAAGGGTAGGGGTTAGGGGTAGGGGTAGGGGTAGGGTTAAGGGGTAGGGGTAAGGGTAGGGGTAGGGGTAGGGGGTGGGGTAGGGGTAGGGTTAGGGTTAGGGGTTAGGGAGGTTAGGGTTAGGGTTAGGGTTAGGGTTAGGGTTAGGGTTAGGGTTAGGGTGACCTGGCCTGGGGGCCAGGAGTTTGAGAGCCCTGCCCTATTTGAAGTGTTATCGCAGGTTAGTGTTCACTTGAAGGCACTTTCTATTTAAAGGTCAGCCTAATGAAATTATGAGGATTTTCCTCATTATGGGTGGCCTTCTTAATTAGGTGAAGCCTGCTTTATAGATAGTCCTCAACTGATGACCACAATGGTGCCCCAAATTTCTATTGCTAAACAAGACAGTTGTTCAGTGACTTGTGCTCCATTTTATGAGCTTTTTTGCCCATGTTGTTAAGCAAATCACTACAACTGTTACATGAATCATGTGCTTGTTAAGTGAATCAGGCTGCCCCATTGACTTTGCTTGTCAGAAGCGAGCTGGGAAGGTTACAAATTGTGATAACATCACACCAGGATAGTGCATCTGTCATAAATACATGCCAGTTACCAGGGGCCCAATTTTGATCACGTAACCATGGGGATGTGGCAACAATCATAAGTGTGAAAAATGGTCATAAGATACTTTTTTCAGTGCTATCTAAAGTCAAGGACTACCTCTCATTATATCTAAATTGTACTAAGCTTTCAAAAGATTATCAATCTGAAAAGAATTAATCTATTAAATTTATAATTTGTACAATTTGACTATGCCACATAACTGGCTACAAAAATGAACTTGGGACTTGCATTAAAGGATATAGGCAATTTTCAGAAAGATAGTCTGATCTTCTTGTCATCAGAAGATGGAGAAGCACATTCTGCAAAGTGATACACAGGTATAAATAGCACTTTTTCCTATCCTCCAAGAAGCCTCCTGACCAAAGATGCTTTGTACTGCTTTTCAGATCTTTTTCAATATTTGTCAAGGAGTTTGAGGAACTGAAAAAAAATGTTGCTATTGTACTTCTTCTCACCTTCCAGGACTTGTGCCATATAGTTAAGACCAGCTTACTAGTCTCCTGCCTAAATATTATAGAGCTATAGAGCATTAGAACATAACTTCTGAAAAATGGGAAAGATAACACAAGACAGAAAAGCAAGAAAGTCCAGTTGCCTCCTGAAAAAGCACTTTTGGGAAGACTGAGACCTGGATGACTGAGAATCTCTACAGACCTTTAGTTATACAATTTGGGATGAATACCCTTTGAATGGTGTGGAACTAGGAATGGATTTCCAGAGAACAATTGCAGATTACAGGAATCAAGAGCATTACTCAGGTGACCCTGAGGACACAGGTAAACCTTTAACCAAGAGCCTTGGTGGCGCAGTGGACTAAACTGCTGCTGTTAAAGTAGTACTTAGCTGCCAGCTGCCTGCAATTACTGCGAGTTCAATTCTCACCAGGCTCAAGGTTGACTCAGCCTTCCATCCTTTCGAGGTAGGTAAAATGAGGACCCGGTTTGTGGGGGCAATAAGCTGACTTTGTATAAAAGAGAACACCGCTTGTGGGGGCCAAAAGCCCTACTAAGCAGGTATATACAAAAATGTGAAGGCTATTGCTTAATGCATTGTAAGTTGCCCTGAGTCTCCGGAGAAGGGCGGCATATATAAATCGAATAAATAAATAAATAAATAAATAAATAAATAAATAAATAAATAAATAAATAAATAAATGGTCTCAACGATTCTCTAAAAGTATGCAAATGACCAGCTGTCTGCAAGGAATATAAATCCTTCCATTCCTCACTGTCCTGTCAGAGCTGAAGAAGCTTCTTGAATGAGAAGCGAAACATCTTCAAAGAAAAAACCAAGAAAGTCCAGTTGCCTCCTCAAAAAGCACCTTTGGGACATGACAGAAGATCATTTTCTAATCTTTCTGAAGCATTCCCCTTTCCGAGTTCCATGAGCATGTGTAATCTCATAGCATGCTTTGACTTCAGGAACCAGAGTTTGAGTAACTCTTTATTCTTTCCTTTTCTCTTCTTTTTCATAGTGTTTTCACAAGACACCCTAATTTCTCGGATGTCTCAGATGGAGCAACTGCAGTCTACCTGAGCTCTTTTCTCACCCGTATTAAGTCAACTAACATAATTACCGCATACCAATTAAAAGCTGACTGGTTTGGTTTTGTATCTCTTTTTTAATGTTTAACCTTGTATATTTCAGTTGCATTAGGGAATGCTCTAAGTATGCAAAAACACAAATTGATTTTACAGTTGCCTCAGTCCACTGCCAAATAGTTGCTCAGTCACCTGAGATAGTTATCAGAGGGAATAATGATTTATGTTTACTTATCTTCTGCCACATATGTAAGGCCAAATCTGAAGTTGGCTTTGTGTTTTGTTGTCAGCTTTCTGTCCAGTTTGAACTTGAATGGTATTTTGTTGACAGTGAGTCAGAGTTTAAAAAAATAGAGCATATATTCAAATCAGCTACTTGAATTGCCAACATTAATTAAAGAGAAAACTCTAAAGTAGGTTGGAGCCAAATACCTAATGATTAACCATTATAACAGCTCATGATTCTCCTTTGGCAGAAAACATATCCATTAAATTTTCTGGTAAATACCAAATGGAACAAAAATTACCACAACTAAATGCTAGCAAGCTGCTCTTTGCCTCAAAACATGAAAGGAATGTCAGATGGAAGTCTGTAAACCATCAGAATCGTGAACTTTGTATTACATAGATATGTAAATTAATTTCACTGGAAACTTTGAACAAATGTTTATAGTTGCAAAGTTAAGAAAGTGAGCAAGGTCCTTAACCTGTAGGTTAAGATGGTAAAGCTATCACTTGAAAATGATAACTGTTTAATATATATTTATCTCTATTCCCAGACCTCTGCAAACACAAATTACTTTAGCATTCTTTGGCACCCATCATTTCACTTATTTTGAGGGATGATCTTATTGAAGTGTCAAAACAACTTGAAGTCAATGGAACAGAATGTCCCATGAAGAATACTCAGGTTCGGCAACCCTGATGGCAATTCCTTTGCATTGGCTTTACTTTGAAGGTAACAAAAGATGACTTGAACAGCTCACCAAAGAAAAAACTAGAGCACAAATAATTGCTTGATAGGCAGACTGTCCCTGACCATCTGCAATGATGCTTTAAACACCTGGCAAATAGCCCTGGTATTTACAACAAATCTTGGAATTTGCAATTCATACTTGAAATATTTTTTTCATGAAATATTATGTTCATATTATCAGAGCCTGACTTCTTATCTTATATTCAGGTAAATAAGTCAGTATTTGAGCTTTTCCACCCTGCATCCTTTAGTTACTTCTCTTCTCTGTATTAACTAATTAGAAATGAGATGACTGATAAAACCCCTTTCTAGATTTCAGCTTACTCCTCCAGTTTGGCACAATGGTGGCCCGATGCTGACTTTTTATCACAACTCTGACTGGTGGATTCTCCTGCTTCCATTTTCTCACTGGCTTATTAAAAAACAACAACAACAACAACAGAACAGGCCCAGTTTTATCATTTTCCTGTGTCTGGGTTAATAGAGCTTTAGTCAGTTTCACTAGGTTAAAAAACCTCCATCAGCGAAAAGAAAGTAAACTGAACCTAGGTTTTCTCTGTTTCTCCATGTTAAAAAAAAGGACTGTGGAGGGCAGTGATCAGTAATTGGAGAATTTCTGACGTGGTACACATTAATTAATAGGAGTGGAGGAGATTGCCTATAATGAAATGAAGTATAGAAGGTGAAATCTACCTGAAATCTGTAGTCCCTGCTAGTGTCCACTTTTGGAATCATGAAATTATTTATTTATATTATGCTCTGTAAAAACCAATACAGGATCTGTTGCCCACAAAATGTTATTTGTTCTTTATAATTAATTCCAAAATCTTTTTGTAAAAGTTTCAATATTACATTTTTATGTGGACCCTTTGTCGATTTGTTAAGATCAAAATCATATTTAAGTTTTTGCAATTTATTTCAGGTTCTTTAAATTATTAAGTTTATGGTTAAAAATGTCTTTCATTCAGGATCGAAGCCAGACCCACCCAGTGTTTTCAATAGGGTTGCCAGGTCTGCTTCCAAAAAATAGCGGACAAGCGGGGGTGGGGGGGTTAAGTAGTAAAAATATAAAAAAAAATTACAAATAAATTGTATATTTTCTTACAAACATTTTAACACGTATTAAAATAATCACTTCAAAACTTTACTTAAAATTCAAAACATCAAATATATTATAATAATATGTAAAATATTAAATTACATTTTACTTTGCTGTCATGTGTATTTTTTATTTGACTGCGCAGCTTTGATCAATTCTTTGTGTTTAAGGAATAATTCTTTAATTTCAGTACAACGTTGAGAAATATTAAAAAATATACAAAGTTCACTTTGAACTGATGGTACAAGTAGTCGGTTACGTTGGTCAGTCCACAAATTTCCCATGATGCTGAAAATTTGTTCAACATTTGCATTTGATACCGGAATTGATGCACAATACTGGAACAGTTTCAGTAACCTCGGAGCTGGCTCTTTCTTGAAAAAGTACGTCCACTTATCAAGAGATGAATCGCCCTGCAGATGAACATAAACTTCTTCTAAGGCAGAAATTTCATCGAAGAGAATGTTGGGTGGAAGTTCTTCTCGCCATGGTGATAATAACCAGATGTTCGTCATTTCTTCTAAAGTTGGAGGATTATTGCGATCAGTTAGATTGAAACAACTTAGCGTCTCATATATTGAATCGGTGAAATTATACCACTTTTCTAGGTATGCAATGGCTCTTTGATACACGTTGATGGCTTCTTTCTTGAACTTTTGCACAGCATTCTCAGGCAAATGTTTTTTACGTAAGGCAAATAAAATTTTCATTCCAAAAAACTGTTCATCGTATTTTTTTTGCAAAGAATCATGCAGCTTACACATGATAATGTGAAGATCACATGCAAGAATTTTCTTGCTTTCCAGCTTCAGTAGGGTGTCTTGCATTATTGACATGAAGAAATGTGTGAAATATAAATACAATTCTGAAATTGTTGGTTCATCATCCTTTGCAAGTTCATTTTCCTGATCCGAAATAAGGTTCCAGATAACCTTATGACACTCATCAGATTCAAGAGAAATAAAATACGATTTTAGAGGTATCCAGTTTAAAAGAAGTCTTTCAACCGCTTTAAACAAACTTAACCAACGTGTTGGAACATGGCGCAAAACTTCATGGAATTCTGACTTGCAAAACTCAAAAAATGATTTCAACTCTTATTTATTTATTTAGTTAGTTATTATTCAAACTTCTATACCGCCCTTCTCCTTTCGGACTCAGGGCGGTGAACAGCCAAAATAAAAACATTTATACATAAAGTTACAGTTAAAAATAGATTTAAAATAATTAGATAAATTTGCCCCGTAGTTTAAAATTTATCAATTTAAAATCCATATCAAATTTTAAAACCAACCATAAAATCTTCTGGTTTCTTCGCAGAATTCGAAAATTCAGCAAAAACCTTCAGCACTACATTTTTGATATCAAAAGATACCTGCTTTAATGCATTTTTTGCGTTGTTGTGTAAAATGTGATTATTGCAATGAGCATTCGATCTTTGTCTCATTCTAACTTATGAAAAAAAAGACAAAACGCGATTCTCCTATCCTTATTCTCTTAGACTGTACAGTTTTAGATTACATACCATTTCATCATAAAGCTTTTGAATAAAAAAAATGTCCACTATTTTGTGAAAAAAAATAGTGAACATAATGTGAAAAAAGTGGACTGTCTGCTCAAATAGTGGACACCTGGCAACCCTACAAAAGTGTCATTCCAAAGGTTTCTAATAGCTTAGAAGAATTAAGAAGCAACTTCCAAAAGTGATTAGAAAGCGAGGCTTGTGAATTTGGTGCCCTTTAAAAGGCTCTGCTATGTTTGCAAGCAAAATGACTAATTCTGTCATCTTTCAATGCTCTAATCCAAGTTGTCAAACTCCCGGCCCAAAGGCCGGATGTGTCATTTGCTGGCCACACCCACTCCTGGTTTAGCAAAGGGGGAAAAAGTCTCAATACATCATTTGACACTTCTGTGATGACATGAGTTTGACACCCCTACTCTAACCTGTGGAAAACTACTATCTGGAGGTTTCCTCACAGGGAACATCCAGAGCACATGCGGATGATCTCCTGCCTTCTCCTTATTCAGGGAGGAACCAGTCCACTCACAGTGTAATGTAATGTAGGAATGACCTGGGGAAAGGATGGAAAAGATGCTGCCTAGGAAACAATTAAACAAAAAAGGCACAGGGACTGAACAGTCAGAGACGGAAACTTTGAAAGGATCCTAATGGATCAAGCAATTAAGATTGGTGATGAAAATTTTATTCTTTCAGACTTGCAAGATTCTATTAATGTAGCCTTACAATAAAGTAGATTTGGCTCACCTAGTTATATTTTCTATTTGATTTACCCCACTGTTTCCTTGGTCTTTGCCAGTCACTGTCTCTGCTTTCACATAGACATTTTCCATTTGCCACAACTCCTCTGAAAGCTTCAGATAACACTACTTTTGATATGGAGCAGAACAAATTGGTGGAAGTTGCAGGGACTAAGTTCAGGGAAGGACAACATTATGCATTCCTGTCCTCAAGAGATGGTCAGTGGCTCATAAGTAGGTCATACATGAACCCTTTGTAATATCTTTCCCCTTAGTGTTGCATCGTAAAACTGAGATTACTCACTTCACAAGGTATTTGTCTGAGAGACTGTTAGGGATTTTTTTCTTGTGTCCTTAGGGAAAAAATGCAACTTCACAGAGAGTTCTCCAAATATTCTTCAAGGATCACCATTGTTCTTTCTGGTGGTCAAACTTCTTCCTAATATGCTACTACAGAGTGACATAGAAACAAGCAATAATGAACTTGAGGAAAAGAAGAAAAACTCTGCTCTGCCACTGTGAATGGTAAGTATCCCACCTTTGGAAACATTTGGAGAATTGCTCCTCTTCCAAGTGAAAAAGTCTTTTTCCATTTTTCCCCCATCTGCAAGTATAAAAATTTCAAGACATTATTTATCCTCGGTTCATGTTTATCTACAATTAAGAGAACACACAGTTTTAATTAAGGCACACATTTCTTTCACAGACTATAATCACTGCAGAATATT